TTTGGCGTTTTCAACCCGAATCTGCACCCCGACCCCGCGTTTTGTACCAAATCACTCGGAAATTATTGAAAATTTTGTGAAGAGAAGTAATCTAAAATCGACAGTATATAAGTAATTATCATGCGAGAGTTTGTATATCCGACACAACACGGCTGCTCATGTTGTAAATGGCTTGTGAAACGTCTTGATGAGAACATTCGTATTCTTCTATTTCTTCAACAATTTAAATAAATTAATGATATTTGGTGAGAAAATTAAACTTAAAGTTTATGTAAATGAGCATGATTTTGTATCAGATATACACACTCCTTAACGCTCATGCCTTCTTTTGTGTTTTCTTTATGAATTATGAATGAGTTTTACAATCCAGGAAAATAAGACAACTTTATATACGACCTCAATCTAAAAACTTATTCTTTGTTAAAAACTCTCCTACCTTTTCCACGTCCTCTGCTTTTTGAACGAGGTGCTATCGTCGCTTCAGTAGTAACGGGCTTTTCATCATTCGGCTTCACTGTTGAGCCGGTTGGCTTTGGTTTGGATCCAACAGGCTTATCCTCAATCCTCTCAGTCTCTTCTACATCTTTCTCAGTCGTACAAGGGAAGTACTGGAGCATTAACTTTTCACAAATATCCAGATTTTGTTGTGTAAATACGCAAAAAATTATACGACCAACCTAGGATTGAAGCAAGGACTTTTAATCTTTTCTCTTTGTTTATTTTCTGGTTACTGTTGAAATGACAAGTCAAATACTTGTTCTTTCAAGTTAAAAATATGTTATGTTTTTCTTTTGTTGGGCGAGAAGTAAACAGCTCGTCAGCTTTTTTGCGATATTGCCCACTTACATGCAAATAATCAAACAATTTTATTACATACCCAATCATCGTTTTCTTCCAACCACGTTTTAACGGTTTTCAACGCAACATGAGCAGCCTTTATTCTCGGGTACTCTAGAAACAATTTTTAAAACTAACTTTACTTTATTTTTTTTCTGTGTTGGTGTTGTGTACTCAGGTGAATAATATGTTTGCGATGTTACTCTGAGTGCATATCCACACCGGGCGAGCTTGATTGTTCTTCCTAGCTAGAGGTCTAGTAAGGTCCAAAGGGATAAAGCTTTCACATGGAAAATTTTATCTCACTTGACTCAGATGCCACCTAGCACAATGTGAGATTTCGCCCAGCCGGGCTAACTCGTTTCACATATGGATACAAATTGAATTTTATATGCGTTAACAAAAGGCATGCAGATCTCAGTCGGGTGAGTTTCCCGATTAGCTACGCTCATATGAACACACCTTTAAGTCCTCACCGTTGAAATGAATAGAACTGGAACGCTACCTTCAGAGAAACTACCTATCTTTTTCTTGAAACCAAATCTTGACCACCAGACATGCGTGTTTATGTCATGATTGACTGATTGAGCGCTCTTCCCATGCGTGAAAAGACTGGGACTGGTCTTCAAATTTGGCATCATTCTCGTACTCAGAGCCCTTCTTACGCGCGTTCGACCGAGCGAGACGTGGGGCTCTGACAAATCTATAACCGGATACCATAAAAACATGGTAAGAGAACAATATCCGGGATTAGAACTGTGGCCAATCAGATGCCAGTTTGATATGAATTTGGCCAGAGCCCCTCGTCGCGCTAGGTCGAACGCGCGTAAGAAGGGCTCTGGGTACGAGAATGATTTGGCTCCGGATTTCCGGTTGGAGGTAACGTTCCAGTTATATTCATTTCAATGGTCCTCACCGGAGTATATCCCAGTAGATATACAGCAAAATGCCTAAAGAACAAAAAATATGATCATTGCATTAAAATGTTTTATCAGGGAAAGAGTGAAATACTACTGTATTCTGGCTACAATATACAGTAAGCACGTCCACTATCTAGAATACTGTAGTAATCTCCATAATACTCTCTGTAGTAATCTCTATGATGGGCTACTTTTAGCAAACCCTAATGGTAAATCTAAGGAGACACTCGGGGGTTGTGCTTTTTCCCGTGCTGCTCCCAAATCTTGGAATTCTCTTCCAGCGAAAATAAGAGAACTACAGAACATTAAAACTTTCAAAAATAGGGTTAAGACATTTTTATTCAGTACAGCTTTTCAGTAATTGATTAGTACTTTTACATGTATATAATAATTATATTTCTCTTTCATTGTTTTATTGCTTATGTACTAAAACCTAATAAAACACGACCTGCGAGTTTATTAAACGGCTTCAAACACAACACAAATTCAATAGACATACTGTACCGCCCTATTAGTATTCTTTATATAAAGAATACTAATGAGAACACGACTACAATAGATACTGCCTTATTAGTATTCTTTATATAGAGAATACTAATTAGAAGTGTTTTATCAGGTTTAAAGCCACTGCACGTGACATATTATGGTTGACATGATTTGCCAATAAGCTTATGAATTATTAATTATTAATGAGTGTTTGAAATCTATATATAATCATGTATTGTAATGCGCATTTGAATATTGGATATATATAGATACTTGTGCAATATAAACATAAATAGAGAATATTGCATGCCTGGCAGGAAATATGGAATTTATTTCGAGTGGTGAAGAGAGTATTGCTCACGGGCGAGCGTAGCGAACGAGGGGACAATATTCTCTTCAACACGAGAAATAAATTCCATCTCGAAAACTTGATTGGATGCCAATCCATGCCATTGGATGCCATGCCAAATTTCGAAAACTTGATTGGATGCCAATCCATAAAAGCTTATCTATTCGAGAAAATATTGTTACTTTTAAAGCACTTATTGCTAATTCTCCGAATTATCTCACAGAAATGTTTAGTTTCTGTTCAAACGAAACGTACAACTTGAGAAGTAACTTTTGCCGACTTTCCCTTGAGAAACCTAACACAAATTTTCTCAAAAAAAGTTTCTCATATAGAGCGGCAAAATCTTGGAACAATCTCCCGGATAACATTAGACAAAACGTCGACAATATCACACTAAATGTTGCTAAATCTATGCTCGTCAATCACTACAGAACCGATTTTTGATTGGCTTGCAAAAATGATATTTTCACACGTAAAAATATCGTATTTTTTACGTGTGTTTAAAGACGATTTTTCTCAGTGGCCAAAAACTCTATATAACACTTATGTTTATATAATAAATATAAATATTTGCGTCATCATCTACCTAACTATATCCAGGCTCGTAGTTGGTTGATTATAACAATGAAAGACAATAAAACTATAGAAATCGTCTTTCTACAGAACGAGTCACGAACAGTGATCATTTTTGTTTCTGATTTGTTTCTGAAAGCCAATCACAAAACATGATCATTTTAGGAAATTTTAGGTAGGTCATTACCTAGCCTCCTCCGCAGGCAACTCTGTATGTCCCAGTACGGGTTTCCTGTGTAGTGTATTGGCGGGCGGGCGGGTTACGAAAAATATGGTGGAGTTGCCTGCCATATATCGACAATTATATCTGGTGTTGCGCATCGTCGTTGCGCATCAACAATTTCAATTTTATGGAGTTATGGGGAGTGGGAAGGTACAGAATGACAAAAATTCAAAATGGCTGTCTGCAATTTAACCTTCGATGAAATACAAGGGCTCCCCTCACTTGAAGATGAATTCGAATACTTTAGAGTTCTAAGTGGTGAAAAAGAAATTGAAGTGAAAGCAAGTTCAAGCTTTGAAGCAGCAGTTAAAATGGCATTTACCTTACATGTAAGAGAAGGTGGACAGCTCGATATCGATGATCGTGGTGTAGTTATTACTGTTATCTCGCCAAATGAAGACGAATTTAAATATAGAGCTATTAATGCAGACCCTGTTGCTGTTGAGCTCCTGGAAAAAAATGTCAAAGTCTCCGAGAATGAAGTTAATACGGTGTCTACGACCGACGATCCTGTTGTTTATACTTTTACGAACGCGTCTGAGAGACTTGACTTTTCAAACGGTTCATTAATCGATACAACGCTTCGAAACTATTTTGGGTTTCCTTCGTTTAGACCTCTTCAAAAGGAAACGATTATTTCCACTATGGCTGAAAAGAATGTTCTTACAGTTGTTGGAACAGGAGGAGGAAAAACTCTCACATACTTACTGCCTGCCGTTCTTTCTTCCCATCCTACTCTTGTATTATCTCCTATCAAGTCTTTAATTGATGACACCCTAGTTCGCTGCCTAAATCTTAACATTCGCAGTTGCAAGTTTACTGGAGATGTTCCCCATGATGTGAGAAAAGAACAGATACATAACATAGAAGATTTCAAGATTATTTTTGCTACTCCTGAATGCTTAGAAGACGGCGAGCCACTTCGAGTTAAA